GCCAGGTGGGGGTCGGGCTCTGCTCCCAAGGAACAAGAAATAGGACAAGAGGAAATGGCCTCAGATTGCACCAGGAGAGGTTTAGGCTGGCTCTGAGGAGTCCCCATCCCTGGAGGGGTTTCCAAACCATGGAGGTGTGGTGCTGAGGGACACGGGTTAGTGCTGGACTTGGCAGTGCTGGGGAACAGTTGGATTGATGATGTTAAAGGTCTCTTCCAACCAGACTGATGCTTTGGCTCTGTCCTCCTCGCAGCCTGCTCGCAGGGCCAGCACGGGACGGGCTGCCAGCAGCGCTGCCAGTGCCAGCACGGGGGGCTCTGTGACCACCAGAGGGGCCACTGCCTCTGCCAGCCCGGCTGGACGGGCGAGGAGTGCGAGAGCCGTAAGTGGGGCACAGGGGTCCTGGCCGTGGGCACCGCACCCGTGCCCTGGTGCTGCACGGGGGGGCCTGGGGGACGGGGGGCCTGCAAGCAAAGACATCAGCTTTGGATTTCAGCCCTGCAGGGTGAGCTCACAGGTGCTGGGCTTTCGTCTCTGCCCGAGGCCGTGGGGTGTACGGGGAGCACCTCAGCCTGCAGCGGTGCCAGTGGGGGCGGGCTGGGGTCCCAGGGGGCACAAAGCCACAGGCTCCAAACAGGGATGCAAGGCAGGGCAGCAACCACACCCCCTGCCCAACCTGCTCAGGGAAAGCAAAATGCCAAGTGAAATTCTCTGTTCCTGTTAAGAATAGCAGTACATCATTTCTCTTCCATTCTTCCTTCTACTCTTCCCTGTATCTGGCCTGATTATACTGACCCGAAATGCCTGCCCCCGAAAAGTCCTGAGCCCCCAGAACAATTACACCTGGCATTCGGCGGGTCCCTGAGTTCACCTTATCTTTAAATGTAACACATACCCTGGCAATCCCTTTAAGATGAGGAAGTGTTGAAAAGACTATTGGCCTTCCTAAGAGTAGCGACAAGGACTTCATCAAGTCCCAGCACAGCACAAACAGATCCACAAGCTTCTTCCCTTGCAGGGGTCATGACTCCTCATCCTGGCACAGTCCCTATATCACCCTGCAAAAGGCATGTCCGAGTCCAATGCCATGTGGAAGTCTGGCATGGGGAGCTGCCCACTGCACATCGAGTGCTCTCAGGTTCCCTGCCTGAGAACGTCTCAGTTTCCAGGGGCTGTAACCAGCTCGGCTGGCAGCCCAGACCTGGCACAGAGTCAAACCTACAGCTCACCTCAGACTCTGCTGCATCTTTGGGCACACTGTGCCCTCCCAGCATCGTGTCACACGGTCCCCAAGCCCCACACTTGGAACCCTCAGCAGCAAGGCCCCTGTCACTAGGCAGCGTTAAGCTGCCAGGGTGGAGATTTCAAAGGATGGGTGCTGGGGGGTTTTGGTGTCCAGGTGCCCCCGTGGTTCTGGCCATCACACCCCAGGGACTCGCCTGCCTCACCCCCCTGCAGTTGCTTGCACTGAGCACACCCGTGGGTTTACTTTTATAATTTCTTTCAACACAAATTAATTAAAAAACCCAACCACAAATACACAAATTATATTATTTTTCTTTCTAAAAAAAGCCAGAGTCCTCTCCTTGGCCTCCCAGGGAGCTGGATTCCAAACCGCGTGTGCGTGCGAACATCTGCCTGGCTGTGCAGCAGCTGCTGGGACAGACTGGGCCCGTCCATGGACGAGCAACCCCTTTGGGCAGCTGTACAGGGACTTACTGAATCCACTTTCCTTTTGGCATTCATTCATGAGGCAGAAGCAAAATTGGGCTCATAGACTCCGTGCCTGCAGCGTAGCTCCCGCACAGCTCCGGTGCCCGGTTTGCAGGTCAGGAACCAGGTGCCTCTGCCCACAGAAGCAGCAGCAGAACGAAGCGAGCGCTGCTGTGGTTAACACAGGCTGTGCTGGCACCCAGTGCTCACTAAACAGGGCCAGGAGCAGCACTTCTGAACGTGTGAGGCATGAGCAAGAAAGACTCTGATGCTGAATTAGGTGACAGCCAGCGGTACCCTTCACCAGTGCGACCAGTGGTGCTGCTGGGACACCCCCAGTGCTGCTCTTTTTTTAAATAAAGTGGAGTGTGTTCCTACAGAAACTGCAGTGGCCAAAGGCCCACGCCAGCTTCTGTGTGTAACTTGTCTCTCTCCCGTGTTGGGGCTCTGAAGCGTGTCCGGAGGGGCTGTTCGGGGCGCGCTGCGAGGAGCCCTGCGACTGTGGGCACAACGTGTCCTGTCACCACGTCACCGGCACCTGCGACTGTCCCCACGGCTGGAGGGGCCGGCGTTGTGAGAAAGGTGAGAGAGC